CAGAAAAACCCTGTCTCAAAAAACCAAACAACAAAGACCCTTTCTCACACCAAGGGCAGCACCTGTCCACACACTCCCTCCCTCCCTCAGCCATCTGTAACAGGAGCCATGCACCTCTACTTCCCCAACGATGTGAGGTGGTGGGAACGGGGCGCAGGGATTGTTTTAGTGACTTGTCTAGCAAAGTTGGGAAGATGTAGCTGTGCAGAAAGCAGGAAGGCTTTCTGGGTACCAATGGCAGCTGTGTGGGCACATAGCCCCAGGACACCTGCCTACGTCACAGATGGTGTGGTTATTGCTTTGTCTTGTCCCACTCATAGCAGGACCTTGTGATTGTTAGCCAAGTGCTGTACCAGCTGAACTACATGCTCAACCCTTTATCATAGATTTCTGCCACCATCCCCACCCCAGTACTGGGACTGAACTCAGAACCTAGGGCTTCATGCAGACTAGGAAAGTGCCTCATCACTGAGCTACACACCTACTCCTTGGTGGGACTTAAAAAAATCTGCTAAAATAGCTATTTTCTGTCTGCTTTATGGACTTGGGGCAGGTAGAATGAGGTGGAGTAGTGTCTCTCTCTCTCTCTCTCTCTCTCTCTCTCTCTCTCTCTCCTTCTCCCTGCCTACCCCCCCCCCCATCTCATGTCTCATTATGTAGCCCTGGCTGACCTTGTAAGAAAGGGAGGGCTACCTGCTCCTGACTCCTGAGTGCTGGGATTAAAGGTATTCATCGCCATGCTAGGTGCATTTGGTGTGTTGTTTTTTTAGAGTCTCTCTAGCTCAGGCTGATCTGAACTGGTGGCAGCCCTCTGGGAGGTCAGAGATGTGGCCCACCACTCCATCTGGCAATACATATTTCAAACAAGGGCTCTGGAGAGCTGTTATCTAGACTCAGGAGCAGTGGTTTGTCCCCTTGTGTAACCTGTTCTTGTGAATGTCAACAGTCCTTTTACTCAAATAAAAAAATGTCACATAGAAGCTCAAAAATACACAGGAGGGCCTTGGGGGGACAGCTGCCTGTGGAAGCCCCAGCTTAGAGAAGACAGGACATAAATACAGTGACTGCCTGCACTATGTGGACAGGCCACCCATCCCACCTGGCCTTCACAGGCTCCTCTTACCCCAGGGCCTTAGCAGGGGGCCTGCTAGGCAGTGGGTGGGCTCAGGAAAGGCTATGAAGAGAGGGCCTTGAAGAGAAGCCTGTCTGGTTGCCTATAGCACACAGAGCCCTCCCCATGCAGCCCAGGTGTTATGAAGCTAAGGGACTCACTCAGAACCCTCCAGGCAGTCCAGTAAACAGGAAACCAGATGAGTCCAACCAATAACCTGAGCTTTGACAGTCACAAGGACCAGTGAAAATCCTCCACAAGAGATCTTCTTTTAGACTTTTAGTCTCCCAATTGCCTTGCTCCGGGCAAAAAACAGCAAGCCATTTACTTACATGACTCATTGACTTGCTAATGCATGTCTCCAGGGCAAGTTAAAAGAGACAATCAAAAGAGATGCCCCAGGGAGAAGAAACCAGCTTGGCATGAAGTAGATACCTGTTGAGGCCAGTAGTGAGTTCATTTGAATAATCTTCCTTTGGGTCAGGGAGTGTGGTTCAGTGGCAGAGCTTGGAAACCTCCTTAAGAGCAAAGGACATTTTGAAAGTAAATACAAGGATGTGTGACTGGGGAGCTATGGCATTTTCTACTTGAATATCTCCACACCATTTCATTATCCACAGTGGCAGTTACTGAGCCCTTTCCTGACAGATACTGATCAAAAACACCCCGAGTGGAGCCATAACAACAAACAAAACTAAGAGCTCAGTGCCCCACTCCCTTGGGACTCTGCCATCTAAATGTCCTAATGCTGGGCCAGTACAGGTGCCCAGGTTCTGTGGAAGCACCCGACTCCTTTGGAGGCTGGGGTTCCCTGCTCAGAGTAAGTTATGTGGTAATTCCAGTACATAGCAGGAATGTGGGTCAGAGATGAAACCTACGGCTAAACAGGCCATAGGAGTTGGCCTGGCAGGAGCCAGCCAAGGCTTTAATCTTGGAGTGACAGTGATGACAAGGAAAAGCATGGGATCAAGAAGTTGCATTCCTGTCAGGCATGGTGACACATGCCTTTGATTCTCTGTGAGTTCAAGGCCAGCCTGGTCTACATGGAGTGTTCCAGGGCAGGCAGGGCTATACAGAGAAACCCTGTCTTGAAAAACCAAAAAGCAAACAAAAAACAAAACACTCAATAAACAAACAAACAAAAACAACGAACAAAAAAGGAGTTGTATTTCAAGCCGTGCTAGTGCATACCTTCAGGCCCAGCACCAGGAGGCAGAAGCGGCTAGATCTCTTATGAGACAAAGCCAGGCAAAGCTACATAGCAAGACCTTGCCTCAAAAACCCAAACCAAACCTTATTTTCTATTATAAGTAAGGGAAACGTATAAAGGGATTTGAGCTCTCAGGAGACTCCGAGAAAGGGCAGGGCCAAGAGCTGTCACAGGTACTGAGTCTTGAGAGAGGGGCACTGCTGAGGCTGATGTGGAATTGAGCACAGGCATCCTTTAGGGACTGCTTGATGGTCTCCACTGGTCCCTAACTCTCAGTACAGTCCAAACAGGTGGCCATCACTGGGATCCAGTGGCTGATCCCTGCCCTATACTTAGATGCTGCAAGTGGAGCTCCGGTCTTAGGGAACCCACTAATCTCTACAAGGATGTTTTGATTTTTTTCCACTCTGATCACAAGTAGGTCCATCATGTCCAACTACACAGCAAGAGCAGGTGGCAAAATACACTGGCCCCTTTAGTGAAGTCAGGTGAAGTTTCATGCTTTTATATTTATCTGCTCTGAAAAACTGGTTTTATAGCTGTATATAAGAGCAAAATTAGACATTTTATCTGTTTTATGCTTGTACACACTTATGACATGGTAATAAAAGTGACTGAAGTTAACATCTTGAGGGGAGGCAGGGCCACAAGAACTCTTACGCAGTGCTGGGGAACCCAGCTCCTTTGGTGAGCTAGGCCTTATCACTCAGCCCCCATTTTTTTCTCCAATTTTTAAACAAGGGGTCAGGATATTCCTGAGGTTTGAGAACTGGTGTCCCTGGTAAGAAGCAATTACAACAGACCATGACAAGTGGTTTGACATATGTGTGAGGTGCCCATGGGGATGTGCAGCCATGACTGTGCCCGGATGCTCATGACCAAGCGCCAGTCCCAGGAAGAACTAGAGAGGAAGCTGGGGTGCTCTGAGGACAGTGAGGTGCCTAGGTGTGACATGGTCAGATGTGTAACTCTGTGACTGAAGGCAAAGGCTGTCTAGGCAGTTCTGGTCTCAAGTTCTAGACCTTTTATTTTTGCCAGTGTGACTCTAGAGCATGTATGCTCAAAGCTACCTTCCGGGGGTCCTGATGGAGGCCCCAGGCTCTGCATTACCCTGTGTCTCCGCTGTGTTTGTCCCAGTAGTCATCAATCTGTACCTCGCTGCCCCTCCCCCCAGACTAGAGGCTCCTTAATGTATCCTGGAAGTAAGAGCTGGGCCCAATGGAGGGCACCCAGGAAGTAAATATGAAATGCTCCACACTGCCAGGCGCCCTGGCTATGAACCCCTGGAGGATTAAGAACGAGAGCAGAAGACAAGCACCCAAATGGTGCTAGAAATCTTGACAATTCTCCAAGCTTCTTCCTATTGTCAGCCGAGGAAATGGGACTCAGCACAACAGCAGCCTGGCCAAGGACCAGAGTCCTCTTGTGAAGGGGGTGGGATGCTAACCAGTTCTTGAGGAGTCTAAACTCTGGAGCCAGGCAGTAGTGGCACATGCCTTTAATCCCAGCACTTGGGAGGCAGAGGCAGGTGGATCTCTGTGAGTTCAAGACCAGCCTGGTCTACAAGGGTCAGTTCCAGGACATCCTCCAAAGCCACAGAGAAAACAAACAAAAAAACCAAACCAAACCAACAAAAAGAGTCTAGACTCTGTCTCAGGACAAGACTTAGGCTAACCACTGCCTAGAGTACAGAGCTAGGTCACAGGAATTTTACAGACTGACTACTTACTATGCCTTTCCATGGAAGGAGGAACGAGAGGTGGGAAGCTCGGGAAGTGGCGAGTTCAGAGAGGAGTGATGGAAGGGGAGACAGCGTGTGGGTTGGAGATGAAATGACAGAGGAGACAAGCGGAATGAAGGAATGAAAGGAAGTGTGAAGCCAGCTCGAGAGGGACGAGTCCCTGGTGCTAGGGTGAGGGTCTCTTGCATGGTCTCCTACAGGGAGCTAAGAGCCAAACTAGATCCTGAGCACTGGCGGTTCAGCATTAAGGAAACAGAGCAAAGCCTTCTGTGGGTCAACAGGACAACTGAAAAGAGACACTACTTTGAGTATGAACATCTCTAGTGTGTCCCTGTATGTCGTTTACAAAGGTTCTTTTATACCCAGTTCAAAATCTGTTCCACCCAAGAGTTCCACTGGGCACTGGTCCTCCTCCTCCTCCTCCTCCTCCTCCTCCTCCTAAGTCCTGGGGTCCCAGGTGTGGACTATCAAGGGGAAAAACTATTTTGGGTATATGTGAGCCTGAAGAGGCAAGAAGTCCTTGGACTGATCTGCTGGGGCTGGGTTACAGAAGGCCCTGCTCTGTCTGATACGGGTGCAGAGAGCCAAACCTTGATCCACAGAAGAGCAGGAAGTGCTCTTAACCCTGGGTCATCTCCTCAGTCCCTTCAATTCATTCTTTAACCACTGTAGAACCCAGCCGTCCTACAATCAAATCCTGTTCAAACAATGTGGCAGGCTGCACAGAATCTCAGCTACTCAGTGCTTTCTCACCTTCAAGGTCAACAATGACACCAGTGACAATTCCTTATCCCTTCAAAAGCTCCAAAACCGCAAGTCCAGCTGCAGTGACCCCACTTTACTGTCTTCCCTTGGGGCCAGGAATAGGTGTTCTCTCTTACCCCAGCAGGGGATCAGGGACAGAGCTGGAGACAGACTGGTGCTGGGTCCCATCTTACCTGTAGTACTGAGAGGTTGGTCTGCCCTGAGAGACTTAGCTTCTCCTGCTCTGAGGGGTAGGCGTTGTAGCGGTGCAGATACAGCCAGTCCCGGAGGATCTTCACCGACTCCTTGGGCAGGTTCCCCCTGCGCTTCCTCTTGCCAGCCAGTGACAGAAGGCCTTCATCCTCACCTAGATCGCTGTCCGACATGGTGCCTGGGGGCTAGGCTGGACCTCTAGGAAGCCTGGGGCAAGTGACAAAGGGGGTAGGGAAAACATTACCACTTCATGCCTGTCCCCTTTTCCTTCTTCTCCTAATGAGTCCACCATCACAAAAAGAAGTCATAGTTTGAAATCTTGTAAAGTACCATAGCTTGAGCAAGTAGAAGGATAAATCATAATACCACCAATTCATGGAACAGAGAAGGGACTACTCAAACATGAGTGGCACCTCTTTTTTAAAAAAACAGAACAGGACTAGAAAGAACTACAGCTTCCTACTGTAGTTCTACTGAGACAGGGTCTCACTACATAGCCCAGACAGGTCTTAAGTCACAATCCTCCTGCCTCTGCCTCCTCAGTGTCAATGCCCAGCTTGAATTCTGTTTTCCAGCTATTACCTCTTATGAAAGCTCCTATAAAGGAAAAACTTATCATTTTTATACATGAGGAACAGACTAACAAAGCTGCCTAAGGCACCCGGGAGTTACTTACTACATGACCCAGAATTTGAACTGCACACATGGGTCCATGCAGATGCTGTGCACAAATGCTCACAGCAGCCAAAAGCTGGAAACCATCAAGAGATCTTCAACAGGTGGCTGGACAAATGAGTTATTTGGCCATAAAAAGGAGTACAGTGGGGCTGGAGAAATAGCTCAGCAGTTAAGAGCACTGGCTACTCTGGTTCAGGACGAGTGGTTCAGCTCCCACATGGTGTAAGGATTCAGGCAATATGCTGGCCTGCCACTGTCACCTGGCATAATGCACTTAGGCAGTACTCTGGTCAGCCCAGGGTTCCATGGTTGCACAGTGTGCACACAGGTTCAAAGGACCCCTTTAAAAGAAAGACCCCACCCACTTATGTTCTTTCCACTCTCTCTTTATTGCTTTCCCCAGGTTCCCCTGGGGTAGACAGGACTTATCCTGTCTCCTTCCTCTGTTCTGTCCTCTATATCTCTTTACCCTTTTTCTCTTTCCTTCCCCCCTTTCCCTTTCTAATAAAACCTCTCACTTAAGCTGTCTGCCTGGCATGTTTGTGCCCTCCTCAGTCACCCTCACCTAACATGGAATTCACCAAGGTTCCCCTGAGATTTAGCATATAACACATGGTAGCTCACGACCATCTGTAACTCCAGTTCCAGAGGATTCAATGCCTTCTTGTGCCCCATGTGGTGTGTGTGTGTGTGTGTGTGTGTGTGTGTGTGTGTGACACACACATATATTTACAAACACTCATATGTATAAAACAAAATAAATAAAAGAGAGTACACTTTCTGATGCCTGCTACAACATGGATGGATCAGCAGTTAGAGGGGGACAGAAGGGCATTAGCTTGTTATTTATTTATTTTAGAATTTTATACACATAGAATATTCTTTGACCAAAGTACTATTATTTTCTTGTTCTTCTAAGATTTTATTTCTTTTATGTATGTAAATGTTCTGCCAATGTATGTCTGGGCACCACAGATGCAGTGCCCATGGAGGCCAGAAGAGGGTGGAGCCTCTGGAATTGGAGTTAGAGATAGTTGAGTCTATGTCTACACTGGGAACTGCATCCAGGTTCTCTGCAAAACCAAGTGCTCTTAAACCATTGAGCCATTTCTCCAGCACCCACCCCCACCCCCGCCGCCTTATTTTAAAAGTGAATCTGGGGCTGGAGAGATGGCTCAGCAGTTAAGAACAATTGTTACTCAGTGTTGCATTTCCCACACCAACATGGTAGTTCCCAATCATCCATAAATCCAGTTCCAGGGGATCAGATGTCCTCTGCTGCCCTCTGAGGTGCACATACATCCATGCAGGCAAAACACTCATAACTTTTTTTAATTTAAACCTAAATTTTCTTTTTAGAGAGAAATTTCCATCTCTTAAGATCCATTATAAAGTAGTATTTAGTATCGGGTGCTTTTCCTGCCTGGGCCCAGAGTCAAATCTGGAAACTGTTCAATGAGGTCCTGCAGCCAGCCCCTGTGTAGTGGTGGAGTGAGTCATTCCTATGATGGTTCTTAGACCCTCTCCGTGGCTGGGCCTCTGACCTGGACCCAGACTTAATTTCAGAATCCAGATCAATGAGGTGTGGCTCCGGTCCCTGCTTTTACATCCACTGGGCTGTGTGGCCTCCTTTCTCTGAGTTTAACACCCTCCTCCCTCCCTGGTCAATGAAGGAAGGTTTCTGCCTAGATAACTCATATCAGCAGCTCCTCCACCAGACAAAGTTCCTGTTCACAAAAGCAAAAGAAATTTACATTTTAAAAACACAAGTTCTAGGCCAAGGCTGTGCCAGAATCTCCAGGCTCCTCCCTTCTCTGCCTTTTAACAGCTCCCCAGCAGGCCTAGCCAACAGACTCTGGCATCTCCCAGGTTTTGTTTCCTCGACTTGGGCCTGAGCCCAGACCTCTGGGCTGGCTAAGCCAGACTTTCGAGGGAAGGGTCTACCTTCAGCCAGGCCACCTGGAGGTGAAATGGGCGCTGCCACTATTCCTCAAAGGATCACAAGTGGGCTGCTTTCTGAGGGCAGACATTTTAGCCACCAGGGCAGCTGGGTTACCAGCTCGGGGATGCAGCCCTGGCAGTTGGTGAAAGTTTACTGAAGATCATCTTTACAAATTCCACTCTGGCTGCCAGCCAACAACCCAGTCTGCAGGGTTCCCAGTGTGGGGCCAGAGGAGGAACCCTCAGCGGGAACTGTTCCACCTCTGGACCCTGCACCCAGGCTTGCCTGCAGGTTTCCTACACCCGCATCCCAGTATTAACTCGATACACCCCCCCCATGAAAGTTTAACTGTGCTCAAATAACCGACCCGACCCACTGCTCACATCCCACAAGTTCGCCGAGTTTTACTAACGCACACAGTTTACACCCCATACCTAGCACCAACGACTACAACGACTCTTGAGACTAGGCCAACTCCTGCACCCGCCCACCCACGAACTCCAAGTGACCTGCCCACCCACGATCTCTCCGACCGAGGAGCACGCACGTCATCACACTGGCCATCCATCAGCTTTCACCCTAACTGGGTTACTGGCTGTACCCCTTGGTCCCGCCACCCCCCCCCCCCCCCCCCCCCCCCCCTCTGCCGCAGCCACTCCCACAGGAACTTTCTGACAACTCTCCCAGCTCCAGATACTCTCCCCCAGGCCGCACACAGGGGCTGGAGTTCTCAGCAGTTCACACAAAGCGCGCAACCTCCCCCACGGCCCAGACGCAGAGGAGCACATGGCTCATGGGGCGCCGACGAATCCGTCGGCGCTCAGAGCACCCTCATCCCCCACCCCGTCCCCTTCCCCCCGCCCCGAGTCACG